TTCTTGTGGTTCGTTGGTCGGTTGGTTGGTTGGTTATCTTGATCACCCCCGTCTCCTCAATATTCATTTGAAGTGCTGTTGTGGTGACAGCTGTCTGCTAGCCAAAATTGGTAGATAGCAATTAACGTCAATGTTTACGTCCCGAATCAAGGTCATGAGAAAAAAAAAAACCTTGAGGAGCTCAACAATCAATCACAGCAGACTTAGCGTGGGCAGATACGATTCGCAGATATATCATCGGACTATCTAAGAAACGGTCACAAAGAGATGACAGAATAACCTTCAGCAAAAAAACAACCAATCAGAAGACGTTGCTTCTCTGCTAACAATAACGCTAATAATAATGTACATAAAAATCTATAAATATCTGTTGATTTTATCACTAAACGATCTGTTGCAAATAATGGCATGATCGGTTGCTATAATGTCTATGACCTCGCTCGCCTGTACAGAGTCTGGTCAACGGGATAAAAAACTTGGCCCTCGTCTGCTGTCATTACATTGTCTTCTCTGCTTCTTCTTCAAACTTGTTGGTTTTCGCCTGTCTGCAAGTCTTCAGATTTATGTGGCATAAATCATCCGCGAAATCCAGATCTCCTAAAGTCCCCTCATCGGTCCAACTTATTCCTATCTCCTCGCTCCCCACAGTCTGATGAATAAATCCAGTCCACCACAATTAGGAGTGTCATCAGTGATAGTAGGCAGCCTTGTCTTACACTACTGTCTTCACTTCAGAGGTTTCGCTGAGTTCCCTGTTGTGGATCACTTGATATGTGGGATTGCCATATAGCTGTTGAATGAAGTTTATAAAGATTTGAGGCATTGCACATCATAGTCTTAAATTAGTTTCCAAATTACTTCGTGGTCAACGCTGTCTGTCGAATGCCTTTTCATCAAAGTCGATGAAGTTGAAGTAGGGGCTTCGACTGTCGGGTAACACAGAGTTGAAACAAACAGTCCACTAATGGTGTGGTGAGAGCGCGCTGCAAGCCAAAATTGACGTCTCGAAGCAGGGTCATGAGAAAAAAAATAACAAAGCTTAACCTTGAGAAAATCCCTAGCCAATAACAGTGGAGTTATTGTGTGGAAATATGATTCACAGATATATGGCTTAACTTTCTAAGAAACGGTTGCAAGCAGTACAGAAAAACCTTCAACAAGAAAACAACCAATCAGAAGAGGTTGCTTCTCCGCTAACAATAACGTTAATAATAATGCATATAAAAATTTAAAAATAACTCTTGATTTTCTCAATAAACGATCTATTGCCTGGCCCTTGTCGTCTGTCATTACAATGGTAGTGTGTAGAGGAAAATCCTAAAACGTCCTACTCCTTCTACTACTGTTTTACCTCATAAATCTAAGTTTATAAACATTATGTAATATGGTATTCACACACTGCTTTGTTTTGTATTAGAAATACAATCCTTTTTATTTTAGTAAACAACAAAAACAAGACATGCATTACGAAAAGAACAGATCAATAAGAGAAATACCGATCTACTGCTGTTTATGAGGTGAATGTATGATCAACTAAACAACATGCACAAACACAGACACACACATACAGCACAATAATCAATACACTCAGGTCAAGTATTTCGTACAGCATACTATATATATATATATATATATAGTAATAATAAAATTAATTGATCCCACCTAACTTCGTAAAATCATGCAATCAAGAGGATGAGTTAAGCCTAATAGCACGCAAACTCGAAGACCTACAGGCGACAGCTAACAAGTTAACAAAAGAAGCAGAGAAGATAGGGAATTCAAGTGGATATACAGAAGACAGAGGTGATGATGATACCTAACCATCACCACTACCACCGACGACAACAACAACTGTCTGTCTCTGTTTGGTTTCAACAAAGAACTTTGCACCGGTGTGCAGCAGTTCAAAACGACCACAATCCCTCCTTGTAGCACACAAAGCAAGAGAAGAAATGCAAAATAACGAAAGTAGACACCGATATGAGACAAAGAAATAGTAACAACAAAGAACAATACAGTTTTATTGGCTACGATATGCAAAAACGAGTAGACGCATCCGCGCTATTGAGGACGATTTTGAGCCATGTCAACAATTGTCTCCACGCATTAGTCTTGGAAGTCGCGGAGCACCTAAACAGGAAGGCAGTCTACATCTCCCTATGAGCTCCTTTTGTAACGAAGACGCTCTGAACCGATAATTACGATGTATCCTCTCGACTTCAACTCCAAAACACCAGTATTCTTTGAAGGAAGTTATATTGTTTGGTAATTAAAGTAAAGACAGTTACAAGTCTACAAACAAATGTTTAGTACAAATAAAATTAAAAAGTACTTTTATTCGTATTCGTCTGTTTTCATCGAACTTGCACACGATCGAACCATTAGTGCCTTCGAGTTGCACCCTTTTTGCCGGGGATTGTCAAGGAATATGAACATGAACGTTGCTTCATTGACCTTGGTCACCGTTAGTGGGCAACTCGAAGGCACGAATGGTTCGATCGTGTGCAAGTTCGAAGAAGACGGAAGAATACGAATAAAAGTACTTTATAATTTTATTTGTACTAAACATTTGTTTGTAGACTTGTAATTGTCTTTACTTTAATTGCCAAACAATATAACTTCCTTCAAAGAATACTGGTGTTTTGGATTCGAAGTCGAGAGGATACATCGTAATTATCGTTTCCGAGCGTCTTCGTTACAAAAGGAACTTAGGCTAAGTTCCTTGACACCCTACATGGCTTGCTGGCTGGCTTAAACTAACTGTTGTGGATTTCATTGACTGAAGAAGGCATGTTTTGGTTTGACTAGCAGTGGCTCTTTCCCAGCCTGACATTATGTCAGCTAACATTGCGTGTCGAGGGAGGTGATATACTAAACGTTTCTCATAACCATTTCAGTCGATTTAGCTTAACAGGCTCGTCGATTGATTTTCACTCCTTACCTAGCACTCGACCGACACCTAAACACAATATTGCTCACCCTATTATACCACTTGACACGGGAGATAGAACGCAGGCACCTATGATCAAAGAGAGACAGTCAGGCTGTTCATTTCTTCCACTCTCAATGGCAAGGTCTCACCCACAGCGATAGAGGAGGACAGAGCGAACTGCTGAGCAGTACACACGCTCTTTATTCGATAGCCGCCCAGATATCGCGTCTACGCCAGAGACGGCGTAAACTGACACATGCGATACTAGCCTTCTGTCTCCGTTCTGAGATTTCATCAGCGATCAACCCATTGGCGTTGCCTGAAGCAACTTCCCAAATAAGTGAAGTGGTCAACACGCTCCACTAACCACTTCACTCCTGCCTATTTCTATGCTAGGAGTCAATGTAGTCCAGTCTAGTTCTGTAGCATCATCTTACATTTGACAGCAGGAGCGAATCGCATGCCAGATATCCGCAGATTGTAGCTCAAGGTGTTCTGCTCTATTTTGTCAGCGTCTTCACCCAGAAGGACTATATCATCTGCATATGTCTAAGTCAACGAGATTATTCCCTGACAACAACAACAACAACAAGCACGAAACACTATCAACGGAAGTAAATTTGAAGGAGATCACTTTCTTCACTGATCTATCCGGCAGTATCGTTTCAACTACAGCCAACTCTACACGTGGATGGTGTTTAAACCAGGAACGGAAAGGTGAGACAGATATTGACTAATTTTTAAGTCAGTTTAAAAATTCACTGAGCTCACCATAGAGAACGAGACTCAGATGTTCAGCACTAATATCAAGTTAGTCAATATAGCCCAGAGAATTGGCGTGTCAAACAAACGATTCCCCACCAAGCTTCAAACTTTCATGAACAGCTGTCTTTACTCCACACTAGCAGTAAGCCATTCCGGAGTCTATCGCCCAACAAATATGCAGAAGAAGAGAGAGATGGGTCAGACATACACTAAAGAGGCCATCGGGTGACATCGCCCGCCAAGCAAGTCCCCGAGTGGAATCTGAATGTTAAAGGACGAGTTGGATACCTGAGTGCGAGATGGAGGGGACTGATTGGCGACGAAATCTCAGCACGGATACAAAAAGCTCGAGCTGCTTTCGCTAACTTACACCATCTCTGGCGTAGGCGTGACATCCTGCTATCAACCAAGGGACGTGTGTACTGCTCAGCACTTCGCTTCGTCCTTCTCTATGGCTCTGAAACATGGCCAATACGAGTTGAAGACATGAAAAGGTTGACTGTTTTTGATCGTGGATGTCTACGATCTCTCTCTCTCACATTAGGTGGTATAATAAGGTAATTAATGTTGACGTCAGGCGTAGAGTGTTGGACAAAGAGGGAAAATCAATCGAAGAGGCTATAAAGTTACATAGATTGAGATGGCTAGGTGACGTGCTGCGCATGCCTAACCATCGCCTCCCTGCCCCCGACGGACGGGCATTACTAGCTGATATAGGTGTTGTGGGTTGGAAAAAAGTAAGTGGTGGTGGCCAAACAAAAACATGGCCTGATCAATCCATGAAATCCTTGACAGTTAAACTGAGTCAGGTAGAGAGGGAGATGCAGACTTCCGGGTTGGGGCCCGCCCTCGAGACTCTAAGAATCAATGGCTGTAGACAATAGGTGACATGGCTCAAAATCGTTGTCAATGGCTTACGCAGATGTATCCAGTCTCTTGTGTAATCTTTCATATTCCTTTCTATCATTACTCATTCTGTTTCACTCTTATACTTATCAAAACTCTATTGATTCTCTTCACTCATCTTCATGTCTACCTTTGCGTGGTATTTGGAAGGTGGCAACTCGAAGTGCTGCACCTCGGTGCCTAGTTCAATGTTGAATCCAGACAGACAGACAGGAGGGGACGGCATGAGGAGAAGGTGAGAGCTTACAAGTAATCGTCGAGCCGATTAAAGACGACTGAGGAAAACAGGATGAAACAGAGATGTTCTTTTAAAGCTGTCTGATCCACTCAGAACTCAAAGGAATAATAATAATAATAGCAATATCAGCTACATTACAAATACATATACAACACTCACCTTATCAGAATGTGCTTTAATCCGTTGAGCAGCATACGCCATTGAATAAAAGGATACAGCATGACTGTCAATGAGAAGAACACGAAGTTGATGGCTGAATTTCTCTGTTTCATCTAATGCCCAACTGTAGAATTCTAAAATGGGAAATAATTTACACTGTTGCATACAAGCCAACTGAGTAGTTAGTTAATTAGTAAAGAACTAATCTATGCAGTACAAGTTTCTAGTGTGCCTGATTATGATCTATGTATGCTATGTAGGGATTGATAACACTAGTCAGATGTCAGAAAGAAGTAGGATGGGCAGGATTCGAACTCAAACTAGTTGAGTAGCATGTGAAAGAAGATGGAGACCACAACCTACAGTTCACAAAATAACTATTCAGACAACTGTGGTGTGCGCTACTGATAAGATTTATCAGTAGTTTATATACATATAAATAAACAGACGTTCATCGGCACAAAAATATCAAATAGCAGGGAGATAGATTTGATGTCAGAGAAGGTAAATGATACAGCGTTGCAGAGATACATGGGAAATCACGTGAAAGGGACACAAAGAAACACAATACGAAGGGAGGGCAGAAGTAGCACACTACGGAAGGTCTGTGCAAATGGTGATCTGAAGATAAGGTGTACATAATTTGGCAAGATAGAGATATCAAATTCCGAATAAACATTCCTTCAGTAAGTCTCTCTCGTTTTACACAACCATTCTCGTAGTAGCCAATGCGAAACCACACGAATATTAAAAGCCTCACCTACATTCGATATGAGGACGTCTCGTTTGGAGTGTTATTTACTCCGAGAACAGATCTCGCGCATGCACCAGTGTATACGCCATATTTATTGTGTGTAAGGTAACTTGACTAATACTGTGATGGGAGCTGTCTGCCAGCCAAAATTGCAAGCAACAATTCCCGTCAATGTTTACTTCCCGAATCGGGGTCATGAGATAAAAACAAGAACAAAACCTAACCTTGAGGAACTCAACATTCAATCACAGCAGACTTAGCGTGTGCATATACGATTCGCAGATATATCACCAGTCTGTCTAAGAAACGGCAACAAAGAGATGACGGAATAACCTTCAGCAGGAAAACAACCAATCAGAAGACGCTACCTCTCTGCTGACAATAACTAATAATAATAATGTGCATGAAAATCTATAAATCTCTGTTGATTTTGTCAATAAACGATGTGTTGCCTGACCCTTGTCTTCTGTCGTTACAATACTACCCAGTTGTCTAGGATGAAGTATGCAAAAACAGGGATTTTAACCTGGAAAACTGTTGACTAAAAGTTGAAGTTGTTCAAGTCAATGAGCCATACCTCCATATACAGCATACATAACTACTTTAAGAATCATTCCATAAGAAATGAATTCCTCAGCATGATTAATAAATAAATAGACTATATATATATATTT